AGCCAGTACAGCGTGTTTTTCTGGCTAATGCCAGAAAATGTCATTAACTGGCTAGGAAAATGGCGGCCAACATGCATAATGCGACATGCGCAAGTACAGAAACTTCCGACATAAGTGGCCCTTCTGTATGGATCTTTATTCTATGCCAGTACTTATCCCATATTTACCTATTTTACACCAAAAAAATGTAACAAATTAAGGGGGGTGGTGGTCTTGAAAATAAATGTCTTGTGATCAGGGGCGACTCTAAGAAATGTTCAATATCTGGTATTTATCACTCACAGCCACCACCCACCTCCCATTATTAACCGGTCCCTAAAAATGCTTGAAAAGTTAAGGGGTTCTAACCTTAACGTTTTAGCCCCTTTTTCAAAAAGGGGCTGCTCTATCCCATGATAAAGCAAAAAATAATTAGAGACAAAATGAGATACAGTAATTTGAGTAATAACATGATGATAAGCAAACTGTGAACAACAATTACAATTCAAATACAGTAGTCAAGCAAGACTTTGCAAGTCAAGCAAGTTGATGGGCGGGTGGCACACATGCATGACCAAACACAACTTGGCACCGGACCCCCCTCCCCCTTCCAGATCATGCTGGATCCATCCCTGGGGCTCAAATATGGCCAAAACGTTAAGGAGTTAACCTTGAACTTTTCACATCAAATTGATAGAACATACCTTAAACTTGCCTTTAACTTCAGATTTTGTGCTTCTTTGCTGTTTAATTAAGCATCGTATTTTGATCTTTAAAGTACTTGTTTTCACAGACAGGCAAAGACTTCGAGTGAAATATAGAGCTGCAAAATCCTAAATTTGAATATAATTTATTCTTCTGGAATGCTATTATTTCTGCTTAAATAGAAAAATCTGATTAGTGGGTATTTACAAAAGAATCTCGCTGATTGGTCAAGCCTCTCTCTTTGCATTGTGCTAATTTTCGCTCAGCTTACTGCAAATTTGCGAATTTCGTGCAGCTTATTCATGCAGTTTTAAATTTGTGCAAGTAATTTTCTGTGTTCATTCTTTTTGGAACAAACTATTAACAATTAATGCATTTATAAAAAATTTAATCAAAAAGCGGTCAGGGTGGTCTCAAAAATGGCTTCAAAATTATGCAATATAAGCAAAATTCACAATAACAAAGCACGAGTCCAAAATACCAACAAGAACTAAAGATTTTCCTATAATACAATAACATAATGCAAATAGTAATGCAAATAAGTTAATAAACCAACTGATTTGCATTACTAAAGCCTAGTTTCCATTTGGTCGTTAGTTGTCGCTGGCACGACAAGCGGTAGATGTGAAATAGTCTAATATAATAATAGTCTTTTTGTGTGAATGCAAATCAGTCTTAATGATTGCAGAGTTTCTTGTTGACACTCTATTACATCAGCCACTTGTCGTGCCAGCGACAACTAATGACCAAATGGAAACTAGGCTTAACAATGAGGGTCTCATATTACAGCACAAAGCTTTTCGCACAGATTATATTTTGTGTAGTACTAAAATTTGTGCACCTAGTACTGCATGGATTTTAATACAAGCAAGGTATTCAGAATTAACTTTTAGTCCATTTTTAGCCCATTTTTCGAAAATGAAAAAAAGGCTGAAAAGTTACGGCTAACCCCTAATAACTTTTTGTCCGTTTTAAGTCCTTTTCCCGAAAATGAACATGAGATGCCCAAAATAGGACAGGCGTTTAGGAAAAATAGATATGGTACGCGTACCATCGTACCATTGAAAATTAAGGTACAGACTATACAACAGGTGCATAGGTGATTTAACACAAACAGATTTAACACAAACAGAATAAAAGATTATTTTAAAAGGTCCTAAATTTATGGTAACCCCATTTGAAATTGAATTCTAGCAATCATTGTTGGGTGTCCTTCAGTGGGTTTTCAGAGGCATACAACAATGTGAATGGTGAAGAAAGAGGGGATCACAGCATTTTTTTTAAAAATTCACAAAGTGCCCCAAAAAAGTTTTGAAATATTTCAGTTTGTGTCAGTCATGTGTGCCACCCGCCCATCAACTTGCTTCACTACTGCAAAATCTTGCTTGACTACTGTATTTGAGTTGTAATTGTTGTTCACAGTTCGCTTATCATCATGTTATTACTCAAATTACTGTATCTAGTTTTGCCTCTAATAATTTTTTGCTTTAATTATCATGAAAAATAGCACCCCCCTGCACCCCCTCTGGCCAGGGCTAGGGGGGTGCACCCCAGTAAATCCATCCCTGAATTTTGGGTCAAGTGCAAAGGTAGACTTGCTCCAAGTCTCTCTTTCATTGTCATATTGATCCACTATAGTGTACATTACATGACGTGGCACGGAGAGGCGGAGCGAGAAAGAGAGACTTGTCAACTTCAGAAAATCTCGGTTCAAAACTGAACCGAAAATGCAAGACTTGCTTTAATTGTTTTCTGTCACTGTTTACATGTATTGATCTAACACAGTGTAAATAACACGAGTTCCATTACAGTAAATAATACAGAAAGAAATTGAAGGAAAACAATTAAAGCAAGTCTTGCATTTTCGGTCCAGTTTTGAACCAAGATTCTCCGAAGTTGACAAGTCTCTCTTTCTCGCTCCGTTCTACGTCATGTAATGTATGCTATAGTGGATCGATATGACAATGAAAGAGAGACTTGGAGCAAGTCAAATAATTATGCAAAGGGGGAACCACAGCAACTCTGAGGTCAACAAAGAGAGGACCATTGGAAATTTTTGAAAAATGCAAAAAGTACCCCAACCAGGTTTTTTTTCAGGATTTTCTCTTGGGTCCGTTTTTGCAGAGAAGATTGAGTTTAGCTGAACAGCTGGGGTGGCTGCACCCCCCCCCCCCTCCCCCGACCGGGGGGCTGACACCTGTACTCAATAAATGTAGTTGAGACGGAATGTGTTAAAGCAGGGGCACTAAGGGACACTATAAACTGGTTAAAGATGGCGAATGCATAGTTTTTCTTGTGTTGTGAGATGAATTCCAGCCATTTTTTCTTAATTGTCGGGTTTCCAACTGAAAACTAATTTCCACATGTCACGAATTTAACTCAAACAACTTCATTTTTACTGCACTGAAACTTTGGTGAGAAGATTGAGTTTCAAAACTCAATTCAAGATTGAGTTTTGGGGGTTAACGGCCCTAAAAAATCCCTGAAAAAAAATCTGCCAACCCACTGCAAACATTCTGCAAATTGTCGGAAACGATTCCACTCATCAAAACAATAACTTTTGACTGATAAAAACAGCTTTGAACAATTTGGGTCATTCCAGAAAACATCCATACCACCCCCATGGAGGAAATTGGAAGTTAACCCCCCTACCCCCTTCGGATGTCCTAATACATTTACTATTATCACAAACAATTTTTTCTCCCTCTCCGGACGGCAAAAATTTCCTCTGGGGCGGGGGGGAGGGGGGAGTGTGGATCTTTTCTGGAATGACCCAATGGAAAGGGGAACCATTGAAGGAAAATTTTCATATCATTGTTGTATAATTATAGTACTTTGCTAACATTATGCACAACTACTGTAATTGAAACTGACCTTTTCAAATACTTCATCTGCAAATCCAACTGAACTATTAATTTACAACATCCAAAAATGACAACACGTTGGACTTGATTGGCTTGTACACATTGGTATTTTGTCACATAGTTGAATTGTTGTTGCCTAAGAAGAGTAAGATTAACTGATTATCTCCAATGCTCCCAACTTTATATATTAAACTGCTGAAAGGTGCTCGCAGTCTACCAACTTTATTATATTATATTATTATTAATGGCAGGTGATGTTACAGTCGTTACTCATTAATAACCCATTGAGCCGCAATGCGCCCCAGAGCACCCATTTTTTTACTTCTCTAATGCCAGGCGATTTTACTCATCAATGTGGAAGCTCTGCAGCAGGGCAGGAAAAAATAATTTTCTTCCCGAGAGCACAACTTGGAGACAAACATTTTCCGCAGACCAATGGAGTATTTTTGTGCTAAATCTGCATGTGCATAAACACAGAGTGTTCTAGCCGACCATGGTTTTAAATTCAAGGAATAATGTCTGTCAACCATATGTTGCTGTGCCCATAGTAGGACATGGGTGTTAAGGTTTCCTTCAAATTTTCAATAGCAAATCTTCATTTCAAACGAATTTCCTGCAGCTGTTTAACATTTCCTGCAAGCAGTGCTCGCCTATTTTTTCCACCCCTGCTCTGCAGCTTAGTATGTGGGTTAATTAACCAACAAATCTGACAACGTCTCTAGTTAACCCATTGAGCAGCAATGCGCCTCTGTGCGCCCTACTTATTTTTTTACTTGTCTAACACCAGAAGATTTTACTCGTCAATGGGGAAGCTCTGCAGCTTAGTGGGTTAAGGGGAGAATATTCCACAGTCATCCAGTGACAGTGTATATTAGTGGATAAACATCAAGATTTTGTTGCTATCTCACTCAATTGAATAGAAGGGTCTGGTAGACAGAAATTATCAAGTGGAAATTTATATATAAAGTGAAATAATAAAATAGGGCTCATCAGGATGCATATATTACCCAGTTAAAGGGTTAAACATATTTTAATTAATAAAAGTGAATTAAGCAATAGTATGATATAAGATTGTTTAGATAATTATCTCGGTGTGTAAATCGAATTACTAATAATATCATGTACATGTGATTAGTGTATTACTGTATTGAATGAGAAAATGTAATAAATTGGTTCCCATTAAATTAAGCTGCAGAGCTTCCCCATTGATGAGTGAAATCGCCTGGTGTTAGATAAGTAAAAAAGATAAGTAGGGTGCACAGGGGTACATTGCGGTTCAGTAAGTTAAACCGTCAACTGCAAAATTCAAAAGTTTGTAATATCATTTGAAAGCAAGTTCTCACACACTGCTGGGAGCTGACAATAACAGCTAACACAGCTAATCATACATAGCTCTGCAACATAATTATGTTATTTACATAAAAATTACTGAGGAGTTACAATTACTAATAAGTTATATAAACGTCCACTGCATCTAACAAGCTGACTATAATTAACGGGCGGGCGGGTGGGGAGTTATGTCAAGCGTTGCGAAAGCAACAACAACATGTGCTGTCTTAACCTGCACCACCCGAACACACCCGATTCACAATCGGGCTCCCAGCCTTGTGTGAGAAAACATTTTCTGCTTCTTTCGTACCTCAGCCAGCAGAAAATAACACTTTGTAAATAAAGCCTGATTGGCTACTAGTAAAAAACAAGCCAATCAAATGCTTGGCATCTGACATTTGGGCACGACCTCTCAACAAATTGTCAACATGCCCAATAATTGCAACTGTACGTAAAAATTACAATTTGTTCGCATTGGTTCCATTATAAACGCCTGAAAAACTGTCAAAAACGTGGATAGATACTATTAGATAGCTAAGGAAAGTGCTGTCACTCGATGTGGTAATCACACTGTTCATGTGTGTAGTTAACCTATTAAGCTGCATTGTGCCCAGGGTTGTGCACAGTGGGGGCAACTGCCCCCCTAGTGAAAACTATATTTACAATTTTGGAATATTATTAATTATACGTTGGATATTTGGGACTTTTTTCGGCATATAGGCCTTGCTGCACCTGTGATGAAAATCCTGCATATGGTCCTGATTGTGCTCCATATAAGAGATAGTCAGAGATGGGCCTATGTCCCCTGGCAAAAGTGTGGGGGCCCCTTGGGAAAAATTGCATGTACATTATATTTTTATTTCTAACTAAGTTCATTTATGTCTGGTTATGTTTCAAATATATCATATTAACTGATATTTAAAATCACCAAACATAAAATAATGCTTGTGATGTTACTCTGTCTGAGTGTATATCCACACCAGGCAAGCTTGAAAAATATGCCTGGGCTAGTTTTCCAAAGGTCATAGGTTCGATTCCCACAGTGGCCAGGCATATGTTTCAAGCTTGCCCGGTGTGGATATACATTCATAAAAACTTTCAAAAAAGATGCTGTGTGTATAATGTATTTAGTCCAGTGCACATCAGTTCTGGTGATAACAAAGGGGGATCCACAAAATTATATAAACATTGCCCAAATTTTTGCATCTTTCAAACCTTTTTGAATTGAAACGTCCAGTTTATAATCATTTACAAGCATAGCCAACCAGAACAGTGTCAGATATTGAATTAGTATATCATATTTCACAGTTCAAATATAGCAGTTCAAAATGTAAACAAAGCTTTTGTTTACATTTATACATATTAAGCTTTTGTTTACATTGTATACATATATACAAAATGGTGTTCCAAAGTTGTATATTAAATTCTAACAAAGAAAAAATACTTATACGCATGTGATTTACCTAAAGTTGTGAACTGGTTAGCAACGAAATGTATATTAAACACAATGCGATTAGCCAAAAACTTTGGTAGACTGAAAGTCAGTAGACAATATATGAGAGAAGAGTTTTAAACTAAAACATATTGGCATATTGCATTTTTTATCCGTACACCCCCTGTTGAGGACCTTGGAAATCCAGGGGATGCCTTTTATATTTAACCCTGGAATTCCAGTGGGTGGGGGTCAAACCAACCTGGAATTCCAGTGGGTGGGGGTCAAACCAACCTGGAATTCCAGTGGGTTTGGGTCAAACCAACCTGGAATTCCAGTGGGTGGGGGTCGACATAACCCTGGAATTCCAATGGGTGAGGGTCAAAATAATAAGATTTAGATGGAAATTCCGGGAAAGGGGATAAAATAATGATACCGGAACTGGAAATTCCAGGGGAAATCAACTTATTCACAGTGGAATTCCGGAGTCATGCGGAAAAAAAAAGAATTTCCAAGGGTCATTGATTAAACACAATTGGAATTCCAGGCACCCCCTTCTACAAACCACATTTTTCCAGGGCTTCTGACAAAATATTACTTGGAAATCCGGGGGGTAGGAGAATTTATGCCGTGTGTCCTCAACAGGGGGTGTACGGATAAAAAATGCAATAAACCATTACCGAAAAGTGAAAACCTTTTAAAAAGTTACCGTTAAGACAGGCTGTTCTTTCATTCAAGCACGTTGTCTCTTTAATATCCATGGTCGAATTTCCAGCACAGCGATGTAGCGAAATTTCCGGCCGTCTTTCACAACAAACAACATCACAATATAAAGTCAATATAAACTGCACGTATTTTTCTCTTTACTACAGAATCGTTTTCCCTGTCCATAGAATTATAATTTTCAAAACTAAGCAGTCGCTATAACGTAAAATAAGCGGGTATTTGTGAACAAAAATGCCCTTTGATGATACGAAGTAACAGGCGCCATCTTGTCTTCTCCAAACATTACGAATTTTCCCGCCAAAATCTGTGTGGTGAATGTGAAGTCCCGTATGAAAGTGACGTCACAGGAGGACTATTTATAGCTCAGTGGGACTACCGCATTTGTGAAATATTTCAAAAATAGGCACTAAATCCAATTTTAATCTCTTACCTTCGCTATTTTCGTTTTCTACACATTGTTCGACCCAACCACGATTGTAATACAACCAGTGTTAGCCAGTAACGAAGTAAATTTACTTCGTTACTTTACTTAAGTAAAAACAGTATTTACTTGTAACGAAGTATTTTTTTAATGAAGTACTTTTTACTTGTAACGAAGTACGATTTTTGGTAAATATTTACTTTTTTACTTCGTTACTTTTGTTATATTTTGGCGAAGTAAAAAAGTATTTCTCAAAGCGGTGAGTGGACTGGAATATATATATATGAAGGTATTTAAAGAATAAAGTTGTTTTACCACGTTACTTACACGTCTGAGTGTTCTATTCCTGCTTAAACCTTTGCGAATTTATATTCTATTTCAGTAGTACTTTTGGTTATTAAGTATATTTTCCCAATACTTTTCTTTTACTTAAGTAAAATTTTCAGGCAGTACTTTTACTTTTACTTAAGTAAAATTTTCAGGCAATATTTTTACTTTTACTTAAGTAACATTTTCAAGCAATACTTTTACTTCTACTTAAGTAAAAATTGAGGTGTTACTTTTCACTTTTACTTAAGTAAATATTTTGAGTACTATGCTGAACACTGAATACAACATATTTTTCCCTCTAAACTTTTTAAAATCAACAAAAATATTAAATATGAACTATTATTTCATAATTTCACAGAACAGATACCGGACCAGAAGTGTCACTCCTATTTGTTTTGGCTGAAGGAAAACGTCCGAAATTTTTTTGCGTGCTATGACGCCTGGAGTGCACCCGGCACTTTGTACCCATAGGTTTGTACCTATGTTTTCCTATGAAAAACTTCCGTGTGCACTCCAGGATGGCGTTGGTCAGCACTCGCAAAATTTCGGACAAAATATCGTCTAAGTGACACTTCTGGTCCTGTATCTATTCTGTGATAATTTATAGAAATTTCCTCTTCGGGCGAACATCGGGAAAATCCGAAGTTGTCTGAGCCACTTACCTATATAGAAAGCACTGGATGTCTGCCTGTCTGTTTTTCACATTCTGAACTTACTTCATGTAACC